TCCTAGTAGTATATGAGTCAGCCAAATTAGGATTGATGAGTGAAGAAGTAAAAAAAGGAAAATGGTAAATAGCTCCTTATTTAAATTTTACTTCTAATTATGCTCTATTTTGATTTTTGAGACTATTAAGAAATATATAAAAGAAGGTAACGATATAATTTTTTGAGAAATTTTAGATGAGAAGGTGAGGAGGAACGGGAAAGGGATAGATTAAGAGTGAATGAAAAGAATTTTGCCTTCTTGATTCGTTGTTGCCCTTTCTCTCACCTTCTTCAAAATCATCAAATCAAATACGCAATAGCTTACGCGACTCGTTTTTCAAAAATTTTCCTTGCGATCACATTAACTTTCACTGTTGATTTCGTAATAAAGGCAAAAATAATGAAAACAGGATTGGGACGGGGAATCTCAGCAGCCATCATCACATCGCACTTCTTCCAAATATATCGACGATGCATTTCTTCCCTGCTTCTTTTCTTTTTCTTCATAATCGTCTTCCTTTCAAATTAAATAAATTATAGAAAGTTTTCATGAAATTCAAGGGCAATTTCTTTTTTAGGGATTATTATACAAACGAAAGATTTGGTTTTGCTTGAATTTTTTTCTCCCCTCCTCTCTTTTTTCTTCTTCTAATGCTTCACACCGCCATTTCGGCTCACTTCGCTGGCTATATCCCACGTCTGATGATTTTAATTTAATCATCTTCGGAACAATCCGTTTTATGTAATAAAATGTTATTAATATTACAATAATAATGATAATAATACTATTATTAATTATTAGCATTTTTAGCATTGTATTTCAATAGCCATGGCATCAATAAAATTTCTTGAAAAAATATTTTAATGTGAAATCGCCATTCATCTTAGTTTAGTTTTAGTTTTAGCTAAACATTTCATTAATTATGGTACAATCGATAACTCACCTAAGCAGATTTGTAGATTTTATTTATGGATTTTGCTTCATTAGCTTAATATTCGGATTATTCAAGAAAAATTTTAAATTTAGTCTTTAAAAATATGCATGAAATTCTAACAAAAGGATTTTGCACTTTACAATTGATGACTGATCGGATTTTTAAGAAATTTGCATATTTTCCTAGAAAACCATTTTGTTTTGGGAATTATCTCTCTTTCTTCTGGATTTCTGAAAAAGGCTACGAAGCTATTCTTCTTCATATGAAATTTTGCGTAGGTTATTTCAAATTTCTTCATGCGAATTTATTATCTAAATATTAATCATCAGTTACATTTATTATGAAAATAAAAACTGCCAAAAAAATAAAAATTTCCTAAATAATTATTAATCATGGAAATCAAGAGGAAAAACATAAATATACATCACATTTCTTGATAGAACAAAATTGAAAAGTGTATGAGCATAAAAAAATCCAGTTTATATTGCGTTGTCTGCTAACTCAAGGATTGAAACAATCCGGTTTGCGCCCATCGATATAAGAGAATTCAATTAACAAAAGAAAACGCAGGCCCAACATCCAAATTTATAAACCTATTTTCTAACATCGATAAATCGAATCATCAAATTTTTTACGATGCAAATACGGTTTTTTAATGAACTGTAACCGCAGCGATCAACTGCTATGATTTGTCTCGTTGAGTTGAAAAAAAAATAAGCACCCATTTTTTGTTGTTTAGCAGGATTAAGAATTTTTATCAGCAAGTCAACTGGCGATCACCAGGCACTACTTGGATTTTTTTTCATAGGATCACTCTTGTATGCAATTCTGTCTCAATCTGCTTTCTAATTCCATTTAAGAAAGAGAAAAAAGAGAAAATCAAGAAATTCCATCGAAATTTATATAAAAATGAACAATATTTTAGCAATATATATATTTTAAAATTTTAGCTTACAAAACCATATTTATTTGAATAAAAAATTTATATTTATTTTAGAAAATTTAAAAAATAAATAATTTTTTTCCTGAATAGTATAATTTAATAAAAATCACTTGTGAGAAGAACCATCGAACGATAAGTGATAAAAGGCAATAAAAATTTTTAAAGAAATTGAAAAGGCATTGGTAACATAAATGAAAATGTTTGAACGACGAATGTTCCTTGACAACCTTTGGTGAAAAACAAAAGTTTTCGGAAGAATAAAATTTCGATATTTAGAGGCACGGACTTTGAAATTATATGGCATTAATTTCTTTATAACAAGGGCCAAGATAATGGTTTCTTGTCGCTAATGCTAAAAAATTCCAGCTCATGCTGATTATCCAACTATGCATCAATTGCCAAACTTTTTAGCAAAAATTTCTAATTTCTAAATTGGCTGCCAAGCCAATTAGAATGGTAACCTTTTACCATTTATTTAAATAACCCAAGTAAAATTTGCTTTCATCTAGAGTTTGTCGACAAATACAAGGTAGGATGGTCGAGCAGCAAGTCTATCCGATTAAGGCTAATTTTTTTTGGGCTTTTTTGGTTCGATTCTTTTGACAGGGATATGATATTATTAAAGGTGAAATCCGGCTGACACTGGAAAACTAATACTTTTCTCCTCCAGTGGACAAAGTTATCTGGCCCCTAATAACCAAAGAAGCTAACCAAATCAGAAAAATGATAAGAGATTTTAGAATAAGAAACTAGCAGAATAACGGAAAAAAGGAATTTATAATGGCAGTAATTGCATTCCTTGCGATGCTATTGTAGATGTAACAATTAAAAAAAGAAATTAAATATTAAATAGCAAATAATCAACAGTTTTCTAGAAATCAACCAGGATAATAATTATACTAGCGATGATATCTACAAAGCCGCCATAACTAATTAAACTGTCGCTAATGCTATTTTCCCACCAGCATATGTCGATTACCTACCTTGATCCTCACCTTTACCATTGAAATCTCAGACTTTCTTGCACTCAGCAATATTTTCATTACAACTGGAATCAAGAATTAATATGATTAGCACAATTATTTAGGTTTTCCTAAATTCTGATAACAGCGATATCAGAATGATAATTGTTTTTTTTCTTCAATCTTTCGACATAACATCGTTTTTCACCTTTACACAACTTACTTTATTATTACCCCCTCTCCTCTCTCCATTGTTTTCAATTTTTGCCATATCGATATCACAAAGTAAGATCAATGAAATAACGAAAACTGGAAACAAATTCGCTCATTATCTATGTCCTTTCGAAGACTAAAAATTCTTTTTTTTAATGCATTTTTCAGTGGATCGAAAATTTCCTTCAATTCAAATGAAAAATGAATCACAAAAAACATTCGCAAAGCCGAAGAGCATCACTTTCTGGAAAGTAAAAAAAAGTACAAAAAAGCTTTTATGTTCGAATATATCAATCTGCTTGACTGCTTCTGCTTGCAATTTTTATTTTTAAAATATTTAAATATTTAAATAAATTTCATTCATTTGAAAATGTCAATGAATAAGCCTCATTTATCATTGTTAATAGTTTGAGCTTGAATCATGCAGTTTTGCAAGTCGGCTTGGTCTGATCATTCTTTTTTCTTTGATTATCTTCAATCACCAATAAACACCATCGCCATCGACACCAACAACAATCATCACGAGCCAAACGGAAATGCTCTATTCATTCTATCACTAAAGTTTTCTTTACAATTTTTATATCATTTCGAAACTTTTAGCAATAATCTTATTTTCTTCCCTTTTTTCGATTTAGAATGAACTGAACGAACTTATTCTTAATCCAAACTTTGGTAAATTTGTTCAGATGTAGAAAAAAACAATATTAACTTTTATGTATATATTCAATGTGCTGTCAAATTATTACTTTTTTCTTCTTTCAGTATAAGTATGTATTCACCATTTTTTAACTAATCTAATTGTTCGTAAAAGCAAAATTCCACAGCAAGATAAACTTAAGAATAAATATTAATAAACTGATAAAGGATAGATAAATGGGAAATAATAAAGATTAAAAAAAATATGCAGTACCATACTTTTTGCTGTTCCTATAGATTTAAGCCAACAATGCAGTGATAAGATGATAAAAATGCTGCGTAGCGGATAAGTGCTATTTTTAGTCTATTGCGAATAAATGCATAACTTTTCTAAAGTATTAATGAAAAAATAATAAAGTAATATTCAAATGAAGTTTAATATTAAATAAATAAATGTTTTCACCAGTTTTACCTTAATATAAAAATGCTTTATAAAATATTTGTGGGAATGTTGCAATGGAAATTTCATTCTAATAGGCACATGGCACCTTGAAATAGCCATTCCTGAGACCTAAATCATAAAGGCTAGAAATTCGTAAAATTAAATCATTAACGCTAAAACTTCGCAAAAGAAAATATAGGAAATAAAGAAAAAAAAATATATGTAAAAGGAAGAACTTTGCAAACTTTGCACATAACAAATAATATGAAAAAATTTTTCATGGGCTTTTTTTTTTATAAAAAAATATTTTAAAAAATTTCTTTTCCTGAATTGTCGGCAATTTCTTTTCGAAAGAACAAGCATAGAAGAAAATTTCACTGATAAGAAAGCGACAATCAAAATGTCACCAAGGCTTTTAACCAAATGAGCAAGAATTAATAAAAATATGCCATATAGTTCACAAACAGCTTTAACTAAACATAGCTTAATCCCAATCTAAGTTGCGAACAAAACTTTAGTTTTTTTCCACAAACAAAAAACAAAACTTTTTTAGTTTTTTCCCACAAATATAAAAATAACAGGGTTACTGGAAGAAAATAATTGGGAAAATCTACATGGTAAATCTATATGGAGATGGAAATCTACCTTTAACATAAACTTGCTGGCTGATAATAAACAGCGAATCACAAAAGGTAAAACATCCCGCATCATTTCTGGGCTCGCTTCCTGCAATTAGAAACTTTTATTACGGATTGACTCTGCAATAAAAAAGCAGCTGAGGCGTCAGTATTTTTCAATGGCTTAGGCTTAAACCCTTGCTCTTCTCTCAATCCTCTCAACACGATAATCTCAGCCATTTCCACTGCGCTCTCAGTGATAACGTATTAATCAAAAATATTGACATCTAAAATAAAGTTAATGTAAATGAAAAATTATACAAATTTATGAACCTCGCGTTGCATTTCACATTGTTACAAAGTTTTTCAAGAAGTTTTATTTACTTTCAGCAAAATATCAGCGAAATTTTGACAAAAATTTTACGCATTAATTGTACATAATATTAACAAAAAATCACAATAATGGAATGAAAAAAATCAACATCAATATAAAAAATAATACCAAAAAAGTGCAGTTGAATCAAACACCTCAGAACATATTAATACATATTGGTAAATTAATTCCTTTTACAAAAGTTTTGTGAAGTAATTCAATCCTTGTCCAATCTCCCAAATACCAATACCAACATTCATTTGTTTTGCCAGCATAAGCCGATATTTTATTGATGTTACTGTAGGAAAATAGCATAGGAATCTCGTTTCACTAAATTAGCAGCATATAAATAGATAAATCTGATATTACCTAATTTGATATGGAGCTCCTGCCAAAATGACCGGACACTTGGGAAGAAGAGAAAAGAAGAGCGAGTCACAGATATATCTTAAATGGTTTCACTAGAAATTGTTGTCGTCGATTAATACAAATTAAGAAGAAAAAAAAATTAATTTTAAAAACTAAATTATTAATTTTAAAAACTAAAAAAATGAGAAGATTCGGAAGATGAAATGAGAGAAGAAATTACTAAGGTAATGGTATCATTGGAGAACAAGAATATGAGAAGGCTTAGAAAATTATTGCCAAATATTATGGCCGAGAAAAAGTAAAGATGATGAGATCAAGAGAAAAAGGACCAAAATGAAAAGTAAATGAAAAATAAAAAGCACTTTGCTAAATTCGAAAGAAAGTACCCTAACCTGCTTAACTACAAGACTGTCTTTAGTTACTGGGAAGATACGATGACCTAATGTAACTGGTAAATACTGCAAATATAGGGCCTTATGGACCCGCTCACGAAAAGCCAGGCTGAAAAGTTTAATGAACAACAAAAATGAAAAGTTTGCGAAAAATAGCAGGGGCGTAAAAAATTTTTTTCTTTCTCCAATATTTTAGAGGAATAGGAAATCTATGAATTCAAGATAAAATTTTCACAAATGCTGTCAACCTGTAATCTAATATTCAATGTATAAGGCATCGGAGTTTTCCACTATATCAGGGATCTTAATTTTTGCTGTCCTCATCGCAGAAAAAAGAATTTGCATTTTTTGAAAATATTGGTAGATGTTAGAAAATTTTTCTAATAAAATCATACTATATCTACAGTTTATTTGTGAAATGAAGTCACCGCTTTTCTGAACCAAAACCTTTGTTTGTTCAATTATATGTCTGAATTTAAAAGCGGATTGTTCTAAACTTTCGATTCGCACTTTTATTTTCTAGCCTATATAACAAAACTTTTATCAAAAATGCGCAGAAAATCAAAGGATAGTTGCTCTGGGATAAAAACCATTTTATAGTTGCAATGGGATATTATAATTATAAAAATTATTATGAAAAAATAAGATGATGACTAATGAAATCCACGAAATTTATAAAAAAATAAATAAATATGTTAATAAAGTTTTGACGGAATTTCTTAGTTCTATGGACTTTCTCCTTTTAGTTTGAAAAAAATAAGAACTTTATTAAAATCCTTGTATTATTACTTTCTAATACTACTGTGTTGTTTTCACAAGCATCCAAACATCTAGTATCCTTTAGCAGTCCATCACCAATTTTCATCATTACTACCTCAAAACCTTTATTAAACCTTTATTTTACCTTAATTACTGTTTAGTTTGCAATTCTTATATAATTCTTATTCTTATATTCTTATTCAATTCTTATATAATTTGCAGCATCAGCTCTTATAAAATCGAAATTTGACGAGGTGTTGATGAACATAATAGGATGAAACTAAGGAGCTCTGAGGGGTTTCAGAAGAATTTCATATGATCCTTTTCAAATGAGACATGACAATGCATACTAAAGCCTTGGAGATATTAAAGGCTTATTCAATGTAAATTTCACTGACTAAAAAATATTTTAAGTTTTGTGGAGTGAGACAATAACTTATTCAACACTAACACAGATTTCCTAAAAATTTAAAATTGAATAAATAAAATCGCACCGAGACGTGATAAAATGTTCTTTAGTCACCGAGTTCCAGTTTAAAATTGCATCATTAGATTTTATGAGTTCGATATACCTGAAAAAAGTTTTTTAAACTACAATTTTTTAAGAAAATTCATTTTTGTTTTTAGAGAATTTGGAACTTTTTATTTTAATTTTATACATATTTACTTACTCATCATTTATTATTGGATCCAAACGTCCTTCTTTCATTATATAACCATAAAAATTAAGTCCCATCAAAATTTTATTGCTATACTTTGGTGACATTTGAGTAAGAAACTCAATATTGTTTCGAATCCAGTCTAAAGGTGCAACACCTTCAAACCTAAAAGAGGAAAATTGTGAAAAGTATACAAATGAAAAAAAAAAAATTATGCGAAACCATAAGATGGAGAAGAATTAATGAACGATCATTACCAGGTATAAAAGAAAATCCTAAAAGAAATTTTTGACAATGCCTGAAAACTGAGTTTTTTTCATCGTCAAGTAAAGCGCCTGTATCTGTGTCAATCATTATTATTATTGTATGAGATCAGTAATAATAAATAATAATATAATAATAATATAAAAGAATAATAACAATGCTAAGAGTAATGATAAACAATGGCAGTGATATAACAATGTTAATAACAATAATAAATAATAAGTATAGAATAATTATTGTTGTTGCTGCTGGATGAATTTTTTCATAAAAATTTAAGATCTTTTGCTAAATATGATGATTTGAAGTTTAATAAACCAGAAATTTTAGAAATATTTATGAAAAATATCGCTAAAAAAACTTTGTTGAACGATAGTCATATGCCATCAAATTTATGAAATCAACATGACGAGAAAGAGTATCGAAGTCCTCTGGAGTTACAACATCACTGAACTCATTTCTGCAATTAATAATTGGAATGAAAATATTTAATGTTCATAGCCCACTAAAGTAAAGTAAAATAAGATACAAATAAGGAAATGGATCTTTCTAAAAAAAAAAGAAATGAAAAGCTTCAACATAAATCGGAACAGTTAAAATGCAAAAAGTTTTAAAATAATTACGGTAATGTCAAAAGAACTTTTAAAAAAACTTGTTAATAAGCGGTAATGGCAAAGTTATGATGATCTCCAAACTATTTTTATGGAATTCATCAGCCCAACTGACAATTAACTCGACTAATTCTCTGAAAAAAATATCATCGAATTGATTGGAAAGTGGCATATATATTTATAGATGAAAATTCAATTTCAACATCTTCACTTTGAACAGTCATTTATCGGTCGTAGCTGAGTGGATGGTGGTTTATCGTACCGACAGTTCATTTTATGTCTTCGACTTTTTAATGAAGATATCTCCATGCGTTTCTGCCAATATTTGTAGCCAAATTTCAATTATTTTCATTACAAGAGTAAATTAAAACAGTCAATTGTATTTCTACTGCCAAGTGATTTCTTGGCACAATTGCCAGCGAAGTTAACCTAACCAGAAATGGTAAATGCTAATCATTCATTCATTTTGCCCAGCAGTGAAGTATAAGCAAACGTAATCAATAAAATGCCATTATTATAATCGTCAAGAAATTTCTTTATTCTTATCACATCTTGTCTGCGTTACGATACGTGAAAGATAAAATATTTAATAGACTTTTATTATGGATTTAAATTTGTTATTGGTAAATTACCTCACTTAGCTAATATTTTTAACTATTAACTTTTTTATTTAAAATTTACATTTGAAAATCTCCATGTGTTTCTGACAATATTTGCAGCCAGATTTCAATTACAGCACCTTCCATTTCATTTCGCTAAAAGGAAAAAACATGTTAAATATCCATCTTAATCTAAGCGTGTAATGAGCTCTCTTAAATAAATCTGATTTTATTTCGTCCTTCTTCTAAGAAAATTACGGTGCTTAGAAATTACTGCAATTTGTGCAAGAATATATATAACTGGAATAGCGTACTGGTTAAGGCGAACGATAAATATGGAACACACGAATAGCGGGTCGCAGCCAACCCTTTACCTTTTAAAAGATCCTTGGAAAGCTTATTTGCCGTACCAAGTATAACATATTAGAGTTATGCCGATTCAAACGTTGCTCCGGTTAACAAAGTCCGCATCAGATATTAAGAAACCAGGACAATCTAGCATTAAAAGGGCTACTGGAGTAAGCATTACATAAAGAAGACAAAACAATCTAGATATGATGGAATACCATTAAGCAGTAGAATTAATGAAAAGGGAGATATAAAAGGTATGAAGGAACTGGGAAGAAACTGGAGATAAAAGCCACTACATCCCAGACGCAAAATAATCTGAAATAAAAATGAGACATAAGTGGGAAACTGGTAATTCCCTCCCAAAAATTCCAAAGCAATTGACATGAGGCAAAAAATCATGAGTAAACTGGCCGTAATTAACCCTCAAGGTTCATGAAGTACCCGACAATATGGTTGAAGATACGACTAGGCCTTAAAATAATCTCCACTATCATTATAAGAGAAATGTATGCAGCTTTATTTTGGATGTTATTAAAGCTAAACAGAGTTTGTCCGAATATGATTCTGGAAGTGCTTGGATGACAGAAAAAATAACAGTGCATAACATCATTGGAAAGCGAGGCTGAAGAGCAAGATTAGGTTGAAATTAAAATAAGACTCTCCTACTATACAAAAGTTGCCAGAAACTGCTGAAAGAACCTTATATATGGAGAAAAAATTCATAACATCAATGCAAAGTGATGCAGGACTACAGAATAAGCCATAGCAATCTTCCTCAGCAAGAACCAGTTACAATTGCAGACATCCAACAGCAGAATAATAAAATGAGTAAGGAAAACTAAACAGCGTTGGTCCGAATATGATTCACACCCACTGGTTAGAGGAATTAATTCATGAAACCTAGAAAAGAGATGATGGACATTGGAGAAAGACCAAGCAAAGTGTCAGGACTATATAGCTGATATAGTAAACATTGATTATCAACTGGAAAGAGCTGGACTAAAAGACAATAATAACATAAAAAGAGCAGAAGAAAAAATACTAAGCATCGGATTCAGAAGCAGATATTTACATTAGACAGGATTCAATGTGCAAAAAACCCTCTATAACTATAAAAGGCATAGTCAAGTAGCTGGCATTGTCTGCAAGGATTTGCTCACTATGTGGCTTAGACCTTCTCCATCCAGACTGACAAACAAAGTACTGGCTAATCAACCAGATATCGTGGTTATAGACAAGAACCAAAAATTATCTAATAAAAAATATAACAATACCAAGAGCAGGAATGTTAGGAAGAATGCGGAACTGGAGGTGTGGAAAATGAAGAACAGGTAATCTCAATGGCAACAGAAGCAATAAGGGCTTTATCCATAAATCAAAAAAGCCTTCAATGGATTCCAGGAACAACGATATCAAAAATCTCCAAAAGCGCTAGAGACGGATAAAATAACGTGCAGAACTCTCACTTAAAAGTTTTCAGGCCTCTCATTTAATGAAATTTTTTACCAACATAGCCAACATAGCAATCAATCATCAAGCAAAAATTTAAGATTCCTTAAATGGCTATAATTTTGAAATTTAGAAAGAGAAATACCAGCAGAAATTCAGTCACAGCACGCAAACAACGAATTTGCAGCACTTCACTGAGCAAAAATCTTTCAATATCAAGTGAACTCCAACCTTCGAACATGAATCGTGGGACGATTTTAATTTGTGGATTATTTGAACGTAATTCTGCTATCCATTCTATAAAAGAAATGAAGAGTAAATTTTATGAAACTGAGTAATTTTACTTACTTCATCATTCATATTTATATTTTTTTAGAGTATTCAATATTTGTAATACAATAGAAATATTACTATATTAAAAAAACATTAAAATTAATAAACAATATTAAAATATTGTTCTAAATATTAATATACAAAAAAATACAAATTCGGTTCCAGCAAAGAAAAAGAGTGGCTTTAATTACTTTCAGGTCATCGGGCCTAGTAACGCTCAGTTCTTGAGGTCAACCTAATCAGTAATTTTAGAAGGACAAAGATTCTAGAAAAAAATAACAAAAAGTTATATGGAAAATATAAAAATACACTAATAGTGAAACCTCGATCTATATTATGCGCACCATTTATCGTGCAAACCATTTCAGTTGCCAAATTGGGTTTTATTTGAAACCAAACTGGTGCTAGGTGCGTGAATTTTTTCGCCGCTTGTTTCGCCATATCATAACCTTTATTATTCCACTAAAAACAGTCAAATTCGACAGTTAAACCATAAAACTTAAAAAAAATGCAAAAACATTTGCCAATTATCTGATCAACAGCCAGTCAGGCAGTCAGTGAGTCAGATACTTGTAGCTAGATTTTTCCTTTGTTCTTTTTGCTTTGCTTTTCAATTTCCTCATCTTCCGCCTGAATTCCCTTCAGGCATTGTCAATCTTTTATTCACTGAAGATTTACAATATTTTACCACATCAATTTCATATTTACCCCCAGCTGTTCTATAATATAATCTTAATATAATCTTCTTTCGCACATTCTCTCTCATGGACGTACCGCTCCCTTAGCAAATGTTCTGTGGATAAGATGAGGACAAGCAGTAGTAAAAAATAAGAATGAAGAAAAAATAAGAATTACTGGCGTAACATAAGCGAGAGATGGATTTGTAAATTGTTTCTCGCTTGTAGAAAGCTGATCGTATTCTTTTAAAATATCGGAAATTGATAACTCTAGCGGTTCAATCTGAAATATAATTTTTCTTCAACAATCTGCTAACAACCTCTCATGCAATAGTAACAGCAGCGGGCCACACCTCAGCTATAAATGGTATATAAATATTTTCCGTATAATGGTTTAATTAGCCACGATTGGGGTTTATAGAAGTGGAAATCGTGAATGTTATTGTTGCTACTGCTTCGATCTTGCTGATAAATTATTTTGGGATTTTCTATGACCAAAAAAATAAACGACAACATACAATTTATCGAGCGTGACAATTAATAAAAGAACTATCCTATATTCTGGTAATCGGTCGTTTTCTATTAAGCTCTTAAGTTCTGCATTTCAAATTCTGTTATATCACTTAATTCGTTAGTGCTAAGAAAAAATGTCAAATCCTCTTCTTTACTAATAATCGCATTTTTCCACCAATTATAAATTGCGGGAAGAGTTTGGCTGTGTAGATTTTGCATTTAAAATTATTGAAGAAGAGGCAATTTCGAGACAAAAGTGAGGCCATTTATCGTCTTAGTTACTCAACTGAGAAATTAACAGAGCTAACCTTGAGTTCTCGTTAAAAAAAAACATATCTGAAGTAAATAACACAAAGCCACGTTTTATCTTCTATTGCTTTTATAAATTTCCGCCGGAATGATTGGAAAGATTCATCTAAGTGAGTGTTCAAGATTCGCTTAGAAAGTAAATATTTTGCGACTTAATCTTATTATGCAGCAGAGGTATTTTTTGTGAAGAATGCCTCATGCAACATTAATCAGATCGAAAACTGTGCAAATAATGTTACATCAAGAATCAGGGGAGATCATTTAGAGAAACAGTAAGGAATCTAGAAACTGTGGATATGAGGTATCCCCGAACAGTGGCAACAGTGCAATCTTATTTTATTATCATATTAGTTACATAGTCTTAGCCTAGGAACAGCTTCTCTATTTATCAATTCAATTCTTCATTCTTTTTTAACGAACATAAAAGGCAAAGTTCTCGAATTATCAATCCATCACCAAGGAACTCTCTGGCATATTGCCCAATGAGACAAACCAGTGGAGCGAGTTTAACCGGTAATGGTGAGGACTCTTAAAAAAAAATGATGATAATAAACATTAATATTATTAATATTAATAAAACCGATGGCATTTTGGCCACTGTCGACGGATCGTGGCCATTCTTTCAATTGCCTGGATTTAGTGTTTCACATAACAGGTTTTTTCCGATTGTTCAAAAATTTGGTGATTTATTTGACTGGGTTTTAGAGTGTATACAAAGCATTATCGAATTTTATTTGTTGGTGTCTCAAGATAGTCAAGATAGCTGCATTGGTTCTTAACTTTTCCCATGTGTGCTAATAATATTAATGAAGTCATTTTTCACTGATACTTTATCTCCATATATATTATATAAGAGAACTTGAATGGTCTTCAGGATTTGAATATTAAGTTACATGGCATAAAGGAGAATAAATTAAATTAACTGTTAATAAATGCAAAATTCTACATATATATTAATTATACATTATTTTCATTATATATTATCGTTACACATTCTATTCTAATACATGTACGTGAATACATCATGTAGACCTAGGAAGCTTTAAAAAAGATTTTAAGGATTTTGAAAGTCACACGCACAACTTTCAGAAATAAGTCACACCAATGTGTTTAAAAGCCCTCCACTTTGCTCTTCACCTAACTACGTTAAAACAATTGTGATACTTGAGAGTTTACAGAAACATGGTAAAACTTCTTTGTTAATTATAAACTTAATCCAATCTCGATTTAATTAGGGTCTAATGAGTCCAACAATGCCTGATTGTTATAAGATTCTTCTTCTCCATACTCCAACAGCTCTCACCATTACTGGTTAGGCTGGCTACAAGGATAAGACGTCTCCAAGCTGCTCAGTCCGTTGCCATTGCTACTAGTAATAGAAGCCATTCCTTTTTCCATCGTCTAAGTCCATATATCGCTGGTTCCCCTATATATTCAAAATCTTTCCTGACTATATCAGTCCAGGTCTTGATTGACCCTCTTCACCTTCGACAACCATCATAAGTTTCGACAAGTAGTGAAATACGCTCAATTTTGTGGTGAACAACGGAGAACTTTAACTGGCGAAGGCAATGCTCTTTATAACATTATTAATACAGGTGATAGTTAAGCGAAGATGGATACAGATGGATATAATTAAGTGCAATCCGTAAAATATATCTTAGACATGAGTGGTCAAAGGCTGATAGCTTTTTAATATCTTTAATATCTAATTTTTAATATCTTATTCTCTCATGGCTATGTTTCCCAGCTATATAGCAAGATTGAATGAATTGCAGTTACATGGATGCGGATTTTCGTCTATGACTTTTATAAGATTTTATCTGGTTATATTAATTTATATGCTTAAACGTCAATACTACCAGAAATAATGAATGAAAGTTACGAATTCCAAGATTAATATTCTACCCTAAGTTTTTCACCAGATACATAAACTACTGCTGGAATAATTTATCTAAGGTATTCTCTTTATTCCCCTGAACCTGGTTCCAAATAAAAAAATTTATTCGCAACGTCATTAAACTTGCCAGAATATTTTGGTTGAGTGAATAAAAGAATTTTTCTTGGCGCTTTAAATGTTCACATTATTCTCAATTACCCATTATTACTAATACAAGCAAAAAATATTGAAAAATATTGATCTGACGGATTTTTTTTAAATTTTGAAATTTTTAATGATTTTATTTTTTTGCTTTTGTTTAGTTTTACAACAACAATATGTTTTTATTTTGCTTAATTTCTAAATAAATATTAAGGAAATTCGGAAAAGGGATAATTAGACAGTTAATTAATTTAATAGATAACTGTAGATAATTTAAAATAAATATGAAAGACATAATAATATGATTATATAAAAATAACATATAAAAATAACAGATCTACCGTTTGTGAAAGAATTCGACCTGCTCCGTTAAGATAAATAAAAGATAAATAAATTATTAATATTATTGGTTAAAAAGTAAAATAAATTAAATAAATAAATTAAAAATAAATATTATTGATAATTATAACATTTTTCTAATTCTAGCATCTCACGCGATAAATTTTTTTTTTCTTTTTTAAATTTATTTTTCCTTTAATTTAATTTTTAATTTCTTAATTTTTCTACTTTATTTTTGTTTTCTACAAGAATTAACGTTTCATGTTATCGAAAATCTGAGTGGCTGCTGGGGCCCACCTGTAACTCCATCCTCAAGTGATCCTATGATGAAAGGGTCTGGTTTCTTGACATGGATTCCGCACCCTCTGACGCGCATGATACTCGCTGCATGCAACTTGCTGCATGCGATATACAATTAGGAAAAATAACCCAAGACCTGAAAATATCCTCGAGCCAGGGCAATTGCTCGAGAATCTATCAAATGAAACGTTCTCTATACGCATGGTGAGATGTTAGCCGTAGCAGCATGGAACGCCAAAACACTTATGGACATTGCAAATCAAGCGATCATTGTCCACACTCTTCCTAAATATCGTGTGAATGTAGCCTGCTTGTCGGAGGTTTATCGTCCTCATTTCGAATCTGCACATGGCTTCGAGTAGAATTACTGGCTTTACAATTATGGTGTTTCCGATGACTCGAGGCATAGCGATTATCATGTCTGAAAATGCCTTTTCCGCTTTTGAATGGGAACCGGTAAATGACCGTATGATTTAAACCTGCTTTAAATTCGGAGATAGTAGAAGCAAACCGTTATTGAAGCATCTGAGTGATATCAACAACATCCCTGTAAAGGCAGATGAATACTGATCCTAAGTAAAGGAATATTTCCAAAAGCCATGAAGTCTTATTCCAAGGCTTGGCCAAGGACTTCGCTATGGCCATGTTTTTGTCCAAGGCCTAGAATATACTGGTATATTCTAGGATATACTGGTGCTGGTTGGATATTGGATGGGTATTGTCCAACTGTCTAAAAAGGTTACCAAAGTATGAATGTTAGGAGATCCTGACTATCGGAGGCTTCGAAGAATTAGAATAACAGCAGCAGAAATTGGGACAAAAATTGCTGCTGAAGTGATATGGTCTTGAAAATGGAAATGGCAGCTCGGTTAGGGGGTAATACGAAACTATTCCGTCTTCTTCACAAAGCAACTATAATTCGGGAAAGGTCAATAAAAGTAGACGAATAACAGTAGTGTGCCTGCTAAGATTATTAAGGATCGCCTTGTAAGATGGAAAGAATTCTTTGAGACCAAATTTGACAATACGTCATCTGTAGTCTCGAACTTAGTTGATTCGCTCGTCGAATTTGCAATCGGACCGCAAACAGGAGAGGAAATAATCTCTGTTATCCATAAGCTTAAGGCCAATAAAAGAAGATGAACTCTGGGCTCAACCTTTCAAATATTATTATTATCCATCATCACTCTTCGTCCATCATAATACAACTTCAACAAATGGACTAGAAGAACCTCGATATGGAAGAAAGAAACCAGATGACTGGAACAAAGCAATTCTGCTCCCAATTCTTAAGAAAGGAAACAAGACATATTGTTATAATTGACTACTAGATATCTCCGCGAAAATTTTTGTTTTCCTTCTACCGAATAGACTTTTGGCAGCAGTATGAGACAGCAGGAGTCCCGTAATCAAATTGGATTTAGACCGAGATGTAATTGTGCTGACCAGATATTCACGTTAAGAAAGATTTTGAAATATCGTTTCAAATATCTACAATCCACGATCACGTGTTTCATCGACTTTATAGCTGCCTTCGATTCAATTGATAGAGCGGCGCTTTGGAAGCTGATGAAACACGACGCTGTTCCAAAGAACATTACTCGATTCATAAAGGCATTTGTCAGCATACGTTGGTCAATGTATATGAAGAATTAACAAAATCCTTCGAAATAAGAATCCATCAAGGCTGCGTCCTTTCCCTTACAATATTCCACTATGCGATAGACTGGAATAATGGACATCGCTCGTTGGAACTCAAAAGGTGCAAATCCATAGCATAGAAACACTGATCTTGAATAAGCTGATGATTTAGTCCTTTTTTCTGATAGTTATGAGGAATGCTGAAAAATCGACAACTGCAACCAAAGTTGGATTCATGATGAAAAAATATGTCTTACACACAAGACACTAATAAAATATCTATTTTTATCGCATTGCCGGCTGAGCAAATATCCGATTCTAAATATCTTGTATCCACTCTAATCTCAGATGGCCAGGCAAAAGATATTTCAACTCAGATAACAACAGCCAGAAATGCTTCTTCTGGAGGAAAAAATAGCCGTTGCAAAATCATAAAAATGAAAGACCATATACATAGCCACGATTCGTTCGATCTTGCTATATGGCTACGAGACATAACCAATGAGAGTGGAGGATATAAAGAATTTATCTGGCTTTGACCAATCATATCTAAGGAACATTTTACGGGTTCGCAGAGTGGATCAAATCTCACATGATCGCATCCAACTTCTTCGTTCAAATACCACTTGCATTAACAGTACTACCATCATAGAGCGTCGCCTTCGCTGGTTAGGAAACATTGCCTACCTCAAGAGTTGACACATATTTCGTTACTTGCTAAACCCTGCAATAAGTGGCATCAAAAGCGAGGTAGACCAATCAAGACCTGGACTGATAGGGTAAGGAAAAATTTTGAACCTAAAAACTAGCAATGTATGGACTTAGACGATGGAAAAAAGAATGTCAACTATCGAAGGTGGCATCAGATCGCGTATCTTGGAATGTCCTACCCTTGCAGTCAGTGGAACCAGCCTAACCAGTAATGGTAACAGCTGTTAGAAAAAGGATAATATAATAATTATATAACAATAATAACAGTTGAAGGCCTGCAGAAAAACTTTTAGATTCCGTTTTAGTCGATTTAGAAATTATAAGATAAATTAATTAAAATGCCAACAATACTGACTGATTCATTTTCGTGCGTGATTCGAATATCTTTGCTTTTCGTCTTTGTCTTACGATCCGATTTCGATAAAGTCGTGTCGACTACTCGACATAACTGTAGTAGAAAGCACAGAAGTAACACGCAACTCACATTCATAACTGTAATTAAAGTTGTTTAGAAGAAATTTTTAAAAGAAATCCAACCGAACTCATCTCTATTCAGGAAAAATACATGAAAACACTTAAAATACAGCTTATTTTGTTTATTAAAGCATATTTCATCACAGATTTATTCCATTTTGGCAAAAGAATTATCGAAAAAAAGTACGATGGCTAATTAATTAATTAATCGTCAACCATGTCAACGATAGACAACCAAAATGCAAATTATTGCCGATGATCAATTTTCCATTCAACATGTCAAAAAATCCACCACTAAGATGAACTTTATTTCACCTAGTTTATTCTACCAGTGGAATTTTACCTGAAATTCAACTGAAATCATAAACTGCCATCCTATAAATAAACCAATTGTAATTATCTATATATATAATCCGATGAGGATATAAATGCTATTCACATCTTTGTTAAATTCCAAATTTTGCATAACTTATTTTTTAAAGTGAAATAAGGAACCAATATAGATTTATCCCTTCTAGCAAAAAAAATTTTGGAATAAAAGTAAATTTTTCCACCACTGATCAACCAGTGAATACGAAAGCTTTTATACATATTATTTAAAATTTCATTTCAATAAATAAAATGGACAACAACAACAAATTCTCCATTGCAAAGTTTACAAAGTGGATATCTCAACGATAAAATCGATTTTAAAACTTTATATTTATGCAATAATCCACCAAATCCACCATCCTTATATAATCCACCAAATGTTAATTCGATGTTAGCTTCGTCTTATGCATTCTAAGTAGAGATGGAGTAGGTTATACAAATTTCAAGCAAAAATTATATAAAATTGAGTATCAAATGAACAAATAAATCATTTTCTAGTCAAATTCTCGACTGGTAAAGCAGTGGTCTGAATTGTTCTCCTAGAAATGCGATGCTGGCCTGTAATAGAGTCACGACCCAAATACTGAACCGTAATAATCGAACCGACTTCAAGACCAAGAGCGGTGGCATGTGCCACTCGCCTGACATCAAGGTTGCTGAAATATTAATACACCTTCGTTTTGAAAATATTTTAAAATGTGATATAAAAATATAATTTAATCACAAAGATCTACATCATTATAGGAAAAATTAAAATATAAAAACCAAAATCAAATCCAAATTTATTAACTATTAATTAAATAGAAAAATTTATTAATTATTAAATAGAATTTTTAGAAATAAAGATTATTTAATAGATTAATTATAAAATGACATATCATATCATTATCATTGCAATAAATGGGATATGCAATAAATTAATGGATTTTGAATAAGCAACAAAATAAGAAAATAAATGGACTTGAAATTACTTACATATTCTTCAAGAACATTGGTTTCAAACCTTTTGCCAACTTGACCATGACACCATTTTCAACAATTTCAGTTATTTCTGCCTTATATAATCCACCAAATGTTAATTCGATGTTAGCTTCGTCTTCAAAAATCCTGTAGTGTCTTATATCAGCCGTATAAAAAAAAATTATCTTCCATCTACGTATTTCTCACAAAAACCAGGGAAAAAAGATTGCCAAACAGAAAAAATAAGGCCAGAAATCCAAATAACATAGACTGATATTTAAAAAATCCTATTTGAATATATTTATTAATACATTTATATCCCGAAATATCGTCTGGCGAGACACTTTTTTTGACGAAATAACAGTTTACTATGATAAAAGTTCAGTGACAAAATTAATCATAGAATCTTTATTCATTTCCTTTATACCAAAAGGTATGCAAAATTATAATTAATCCGATATTTTTCAAAAATAATAACAGAAAAAAAACCTACTTATTCATTAATATTTTAGCTTGTTCAAGTTTGGTTTTATTAGGCGCTAACAAACTTATATTGGCTTCATCCTCAATAGCAATCTGAATTTGAAAGAATTAAATAATATTTAGCATTTTTACTGCTGATATTTTTAATTTAGTTAAGCAATAAAAGATGAAGAAAAATCTAGAAATATAAAATAAATAAAATATAAAATAACGATCACATCATTAAATAAAAGATTACTTTCACACCAGTTTCAGCTTCAATGAGCTTTTGATTGAAAGCATTGCTACGAAAGAGAATTTGTTTTTTATAAATTTGTATAGGAATGGTTTCAAAAACTGGCACTGAAGACTTGAAACTCGTTCTTGGCATCGGCTGTACTTCATGCATAATATCAAGCACATAGGAAATACCTTCCTTGCCTCTGATTATCGCTTCATCGAAAATTTTTCGCTCAATTCCAGGTAATTTTAAATCAAGTTGCATTGCAGTAAACCCATTGTAGGTACCTGCAAAATATAATCAAAATTATGAACCAATCATTAGAAAAAAGAAAACCAAACATTTATGCGATGGTGGCACAGTAACTATCACCGAGAATCGAGATCTGGGTTCGAATCCGCCAAACCACACTCTTCATCAGTTTTACACTGACAGCTAACGAAGAATGCGAAGGAGATAAAATGGCTCAGTGGGTGGTTTAACAATATGGAACACCGACTGAAATCCTATTTCCAGATGCAAACCTGTCCAAAAATCGGTACGATATTACCGACTCACTTCTATCTTCTATCTGTACTTTTATCAACAAGGGACTCGCTACATATTTACCTAGTGCGACAAGATAGAATAAACAGCTTAACTAACAGCTTAGCTAGTTAATGATGAGAATTAACAAAAAAATCATTTAATATTCTGAATTAATACATAGAACAGCTAATATATGAATTGAATTCAAATTTTTAATTCTTTTACTTTAATGTGCACCTTTACGCAATGATTTCCACAAGGACTTCCAAAAAATTTAAGAGATATAATCGAAAATGAAAAATAACTGATTAAAGGAGACGACAATTGAAAATAATAAAAAAGCATTCTTCAGATTAATTTAAATGCTCAAAAAATTGCAAATTATGTAGGGCAAATAAATTTTCTTTTCTAAAAAAATAGCATAAATATACCAGCAATTTTAAAGTCCATGTGACCATAATAATCCTCCATACCAGTAAGATCTGTTAAAATTTTGTGATTATTTTGATCATCGCTTAGAAAAAGTCCTAAAGCGAGACCCGCAACAGGAGCTTTCAGTTGCACTCCGGCATCTAGCAGAGCTAAACTACCTGCACATACAGATGCCATAGATGAAGATCCATTAGATTCGAGAACCTTAAAATATATTTATATTGAAAGATAATTTCCTGCAATTTATATAAAAACTTCATCAGTTGAATTTTCTCGCAAAAAACGCAAATCAAATCAAATCAAATAAAAAACCTCGCAAGCCAATCTAGTACAGTATGGAAACTGTTCAGGCATAACATGTTTGAGAGCATTTTCAGCCAAGTTTCCATGACCCAATTCGCGTCGACTTTTTCGACTTTGCGCACGAATTTCATTAGTGGCATATGAAGGGAAATCATAGTGCAACATAAACATTTTACGCCTTTGAGAACCCAGAAGTTGTGATATAGAATCTGGATGAAAGGCAGTTGCTGGTGAATCGAAAGTAACTGTAGTAAGAATCTGAATTAAAAAATTCAAACTGAAGTTCAGTTATTATAAAAAATTTCTATGATTAGATTTTTGTAAAAAATCTCAAAATAGAAAAAACCAGTTGAAATGAAATAATTGACGCATAAACCTGTGTTTGACCACGTTGAAATAAGGCAGATCCATGTAATTTTTTATAGACGTCAACTTTAATTTTAATTGGCCGGAAATCATTTACACTACGCCCATCACTTCTTATACCTGTTTCTAGCACCATATTCCTAAAAAATATTTCATCTCTTATAAAAAAATAATTAAATTCATACTTCATATTTTCTAAAAAATCTCGAATCAAATTCTATTGCAATATAAAATTAAAAAAATTAAGAATGAAAACCTCAACGTATTTTTTACTAATTCATAGAATATTTGTCGTAATTCATCTGAAAACTCCTCTTCTAAAGAATCAGTAACATCATCCATCAATTCTTTTATGGCCAAATCCCTCGAAATTTTATCGTGTTTCTGGTCACTCAGTATATAATATAATCTATCCTCACTCATCTTTTTTATTTGCTCAATTAATTCTTCATTGATCTGTTCCTCCATCACCTGCATGATAAAGTCTTTAGATTTTCAAAAATAATTTTATTACAAAAATTTTAAAAATCGTTCTTTTTCTTACCAAAGAAACTTACCACTCTTTTTTCTTTTCCGACATTTGCCCGCAATTCATCAATTGCGCCAACTACTTTTCCAATAGCAGATGAACCTTTATCTAAACAAATGGCTAACGATTCGCAACTGATTTCTTTTCCATCCATTTCCATCATCACTATTCGTTTACCATCATTGCAACCTACCAAAATCATATTAATTATGGAGTTTTTCATGGCTTCACGACTCGGATTAACTTCAACCTGCAAAATCTATAAAACTTCAACTTTTTTCAATAACAGTGGAGAATTTGATGACTAAAAATTAAAAATTCAATGTTTTTTCTTAATTTTTAAGAAAACAATTCTTAAAACACCTTTTCAATTTTCAGAAAAAATGATCTACAGGAATATTTCATGTATTTCAAAATTCTGAATAGAAAAAAATTCTGAGAAAAATCACCTTATCATCAATTAAACCAATTCGAACTGCACCAACTGGACCATTCCAAGGAACATTTGATACATTAAGTGCAGCAGAAACAGCGTTCAAACCCAATATAACTGGATCTCCATCATCATCTAATGCAAGTGGTTTGCATATTATCTGAAAACTCGTGAATTGAGCCATAAGAGAATACGAGATCTGAAGTAAATCATCGGTGATGAAATAAAATGACGATATAAGGAAATATAAGGAAATGCATAGGGGATGACGAAACAAATTACTGGTGGAACTGAAAGGATGTGAGAAAAAGAGGAAAAAAGTGAAAAGAAGCATCAAAACAACCTTCATTTTAATTTTATAAGTTTTTATACTGTTAATTTTTGTCCATTATCTTTATCCATTAGCTTTTTTTTACCTGAGTTTCTGCGAAATAATTAGAAGGGAAAAAAGGTCGAACTGAACGATCAATCGTTCTCGAAGCAAGGACATCTGCATCGGTCATTTGCAATTCACGTCGTAAGAAATTAGTTGGTATACGACCTAAGGCTGATCCAGATTGTTTAAAATCGACTGTCAGTGGGAGAAAATCGTTCTTGCCTTCCGATTCATCTTTACTAACTACCGTTGCCAAAATCTTCAAATAAACTTTAGATCAATAAAGACAAAGAATGAAATCGAATGAATCTTGTACTAACTGCCACAGTGGGATTTATAAAACTTTAAGAACAGAAATTAAGGTAGAGAGAAAAAAACGTATGAAAAACACGCCGTATAATTTGGAAGTGGCTGATGACAAAATCAATTTTTTAAAAGTAATTTATTTTGTTATGCACCTTGTGGATAAAAAAAAATGATCAAATGATTGCAGATTAAGAATAAAACAAGAATAAAAAATGACATTAACTACGTTAAACCAATATATTAAATTAACTTAAAAAATAAAATTTTTATTTTTAAGTAAAACCAACAGCATTGTCGCCTTGCGACACTACGGCCGCTCCATCAGCAAACCGCGCCATGTGACCAGCCTCAAATTCGAATTCCAAAATGGATCCAATATTAGTCGATATTTTACTACTGAATACAATCGAACTTAACGAAATACACCGAAAATGAATCTGCCTATTAACATATTTCATAAGAATTCTGTGAAATAACCATCTCATTGGGAAGATCATCAGCCTCCTGTTTTAAAGATTCTTAAAATTAATAAATCAAAGAAAAAATAAAAAAAACAAAATCTTAAATGTCATAAAATGCGAACGCAGAAAGTGGAAAAAAATTATCCAAATACATGTTAACAGCTGCCTAACCTAATTATAAACGGAACTACCATTTATTCAACATTTTTATTTTCCCAAATTTTTCTTCAATTTTTCTTACTTTTAACTCTTTCCAGAATCCGGAAAAATATACTTTTAAAATGCCTTTTGATCGTTAACCATATGAGTATTCACATCCAATTTCGATCACTAAATTTTTTACGAAACCGTCTGAAATGTTGAATATAATACAAGTCCCATTTTCATCTAACAGTTTCAATTTAAAGATTTATCAGATTCCTAACTAAATGAAGGTAAATTAAATTAAAATTTAGGAAGTGGTTCACAAGTTAAAAAACAAAGTGCCATATGAAAAGCAGAGTTGATTTCAATAGAATGTCATGGTATTTAAAAGAATTTTATTTTCGAATAAATATCCACAAGAATAAAAAGCAAAAAACTTATTAGAATACAAAATTTTATATAATCAATATGTTAAAAACCAAAAAAAACGTTAAAAAAAGACTCGATAGAGATGTACAGATGCTTTCGTAATATGAAGAAAGCATAGTATTAGTATAGGTGGAATGATCGCCTCGTTTATTTGAATATCCTAAGCCAAGCATCTCTCCATCATAATGATATAATAAAGAAGCAATAAACTTATTTTATAATTGAGTATGCATTGTATAACAATAGAATTACGATCGAAACGTGACAAATATATTTTTTTCACCACAAATGTAATAAATAATTTCCCAAAAATTTACCACACTTTGCATGAAACCAAAATCTTGATAATAAAAAAGAAGCCATTTCATGTTATAAAATATAATTATATAGAGATATAAGAGGAATATAAAAACAAATTTTTGTGATTTCAGGGCATAAAACACGATCAAATATCCCCTTGACTAAAATTAAATTTTAATGAAATAAAATCTTTTACTGACCAAAAGAAACCATAGATCCACATGAATCTTAGAAAATATGAAGTTTAGAAAATCCTACACAAGGTCTCAAAATCGCCTCCATAAAGCAACCAAAATAATAAAATAATAAAATGCTAATGCATAGCATTAAAATTAAAATCTTGCCTGGAACCTTGCAATCGCGAGTAAATTTGCGAGTAAATCATTTTTGGCAATTTTTGATCCAAATATACGATTAAAATCACAAGTAACATAAAAAAAAAAAAAAAAAATGACGAAAATGTTAATAACAAATTTTTACATTGCCCGATTAATGATTTAAACTGATGAATATCCTTGTCGCTTCGCTCGAGCACGCCCGATCAAATATGCAATAAGAACAATAATCACAAGTATTGCAAGGCAAGCACCAACTATAATGGGTACAAGATCCGAAGTACGTGAATCCAGTGCACAAAAATCGTATCCTAGATGTAAATATTTCATCGTATGACAAAAGCAATAACAAAGTTTTTCATTAAAAGAATAAAACTGCTACATGTCAGCAAAATTATGTAAAGAAGCTTCCAATTTTTTAAAAAAAGAATACTTCTCAACAAAAAATGTTTCAAACATTTCAAACAAATTATTATCATTTATTATTATTATTTATTTATTATTATAAATTATTATATCTGAAAATTGAGATATCTGAGAAAAGTGGTCTAAACCTATAACAGAAAGGAAATTGCGAAAAATTAATGATTAAATGAACAATAAAGATAAAAATGATACTGAATAAAATGAAAAATATTTAAATACAAAATCATACCAATATTAGCAGGAAACTCATCAGAATTGAGATTAACGAAGGCAATCACTCTAAAATTATTCAAATCGAGATAAGAGGAACCCGTAAATAACAATACAGAGTGAGAGCATTTAAAGGCACGTTTGCTCGTTGCAGCAATTTCTAATACAGTTTGATTAGTCATTTCGTAAGTTTTTTTACTTTCTGAAAATGAAAATCTAAATCGGTTTTAGAATTTAAATTTTATGATAAAAATTTGATAGTTGAAAAATTTCTATCAAAAATAGATAATTTAAATAATAAAAAAACAATATTAATAATAAAAAATTCCACTGTGATACTCTCGAAAAAACAAGATTCAAGTGAAGATTTTGTGAGATATGGTAAACTTTAACAAAGTAAAAACTAACTTGTTGTATTAAATGAACGATCGAAATAAGCAGTTAAATAAAACTTATTTAAACTGAATGCATTTTCCTGAGTCTTTTCAAATAACATCACGAATTCCCAATCTTTTTCCAATTTATGATTATTAGGAAGAAAACTGTAAATAAAATGAAAAAAATCTGCCACTGAATGCCAAAATTAGAGATAAATTCATTGTCGAATTCACCTGTTTGTTTTGACAAAATTTAGGAATCATGATCCTTCCTTATCATTCATTTCAATTGGAAAAATTCCACCTTTACTAATTCTTTTAACAATTATTAACAGAAGATTATTGTCTACTTGGAAGTAAATGAAGGACATTGTTGAGATAATTATTATGACAATTATAATTAATTATTGATAACGAAGCTGAAAGAGAGCGTAGATCTAACTTAAAAAGCTTAAAATATTGCTCACCAACTAAAACGTGACTTCAGAAGTTCTGCACCAGTATAAGGTAGGGGAAAACGATTATAAGAAAAAAAGAATTGATCCAATTTTTAAGTCTTACACAGATATATTGATACTTTCCAGTTCATGAAAGGTACCTGATTTTAATTTCTTGCTTTCCATCACTTGTCAACAAATCACCACAGCTGCCATTCACCTTACTGTCACTTATGTTGAATTTGTAATCAATCGTTTCATTATCTCCCTACAATTACGTAAATATAAAAATCAAAAATATTGAATTTTTGCACTAGTATATTCAAAAAACCAACAAACTCATATAAATTGTTCTTCGATTCCTTTTTCGTTCACAAATCTTGAAAATTCCAAAATTACTCCGCCATTAAAATTCAAAAATCTGGGGAATGCTGAAGACCCACATAAATTTCTATTCTCAAATAAATTTCTGAGGAAGAGATTTCAATATAATACACAATAAAGCCAGCTAAAACCAGAGAATGGTGAACATTGTCAGAAGAAAAAAATGATAAAACAAAAACAATAAGAAGTTTAAAACATATAAGAAATAAGCAAGCACAATACAATAAACTTAAATATACTTACAATTTTTACCATTCCAGTTACATTCGCTTCCAAAACAATACAAAATGTACCATTTGAATCGCTCACGCTCCAGCGTTCACTAGCAACAATCGAAAATGCTACCACTGAAATTCAAAAAATAATTCCTTCAACAAAAGTGAAAAAAAATTTAAGTAAGCTAATGGATAAGTCAAATATCACATTTTTCAAATCCACGGGCTATAAAATGATGAACTTTAAAAATTAAAAACTGAAAAAACCAACCAAATAATATGCATATAGTACTCACTGAGACGATCATCACTAAACCAATCTATAAAAAATAAAACGATTGATCGATTAAAATACATTAAAAAATAACTTTTTGCGACCAAATTCGGAATGCGTCGATGAAATGGCTCAATTTTCCGATTAGAAAATTAAAAAAATATTGAGTAATCGAGAAATTTATGAATACAAAATAATTTGGATAAAAAATTCAAGATATTGAACATAAACTCATATGTTCCTCAATAATTACAAAATATGAAATAATTATAGCAATAAAAATAAATTGTAATAAATGAAGAATAAAAACTTTATATGAAAACTTTATAAAAACAAAATCTAGAATAAATGATGGAAGATTTCATACACGATATATTCTTTTCAACCATTTTGCATATTATAAAATTCAATCGTCATAATTATTGACAAAAAGAAAATAAATAATTGAATAACTAAAATTTAAAATCAACGAGAAAACGTTAAAAAAAAAGAAATAGAATCCCTAAGTCTTCTGCGAAATGGTCCCACCATCGAAATTCCTTACCGATCGAAATTCTTCTCTTTTTAAAATGAAAAATTATTAAAAATTGACAAGCTTAATAGAATCGTTACAACTAATTGCTCCATTAGCTGATGGTTCACCCGTCATTTAAAATTTTTCCTAATAATAAAAGACATCGTATCTTAGTTACTTTTCATTATTTTCGGAGTATACCAAATGTTAAACTATAAACTATAAATAATGAAATATGACACACAGAACTTCTATCACTGATATTTATTAACCAATGAACCAACTGAATATGAAAAATTGAAAGAAAAGTCAAATTTTCGAATCAAAATGTAATGTGATATGGTGAAATAAGCCAATAAGCGGAAAGTAACAAAAATTAAAGTGTCCGTTTTTAATTAACAATATAACTAAAAAATCGAATTTGGCCTATTGGATTATTAAATCGAGTTTCAAATTAAAGGGACCAATGTACTCCCAACAAACATTCGAAAAATACCAATAGAACCGCTAAAACTATAATAATAACAAATAAAAGAACCTGTTAACTATGGCAAAAAAATATTCAAATTATGTAAGAAAATTCTACGAAACGTGGCAAAAAAATTCTTAATTAATCAGAATATTCTTTTGAAGCCGTAAAATTATAAATATGAGACAAAAACTATGCAATATAACAATATTAAACATAATTTTTTGAATGACTAGTCAACGCCATTCGAATATTTTGAATTGACCCAAGAAGTATGAGAATGAAAAAAATTTAAAAAAATTTCAGATCTCGGCTTGGAATATGAACTCATATATAAATTTCCATAACTCACAAACAATAAGATCAAATAATTCAAGAAAGAACCCTAACATTAAATGGATACTCCTACAGATAAAAAGAGAATTTTTTACAAAAAAAGTTAATGTCGAATAAGAATCCATTGAGATATAGAGAAAAGCGAAAAACAATGGAAAATAAAGCAAAAAAATAGTTGCATAAGCCCACTTAGATAATATTTTCATAATTAGTGACAAACACTGCAAATAATGGCAAACACTGCAAATGAATCAACAGACCCAAAGTGATCACAACGACTCACACCAACCCAAACCAACCAACCCGAAAACAACCACCGCCACCACTCCCAACTCAAACCGCCATTTAACGCAGAGCACAAGCACCAAATAAATTGAAATAAATAATACCAATACCGTACTATGGAGAGAATCGTTTCAAGACTCAACAAATTATCCGGTACTTTCAAAGCCCAGACATGCCTTGCACTCCTTACCCACCCGAGAGTCTATTATTTATTATTATTATTTTGTTATTATTATTAATTGTTATTATTGATTATTATTCGATATTATTACTAAATATTAATTATTAATATTTAGTATATTTATTATTGTTATTACTGTCACTATTATTCATTATTAGTTATTTTTATTATCTATTATTTTTTATTATTTATTATTATCAATATTTATTATTATTAATTATTATGGAACTTAAGGCTTATTCAGGTCTATTTTTATTAAGAAAAGGGCCATGTAATGGGATGCAAAAATCTTGCAAAATTAGTCGAATCTGGATTTTAAAAGGCAAAGAATACGACTTTAAAAAGTTCCCCATCTTTAACAATGAATACAAAAAGGTAAGCAAGTACGCGAACGATAAGGTAGATCAATCCGATCGTGTAAACTGCAGGAGAAGTCAGCTGATATTTTGCGCGCAAAATAAAAAAGCAAAAAAAGTGTCATAGCGAACATTTAAAAAGGAGAACGAAGAAAAATCATCTAATAGTGGTCATTTTCAAACATAAAAATATGCGAGAGAAAACCGACGAAAGGAAATATTTGAATGCTGAATGGCACTGGCAAGGTTAGTGATCGACCTGAGAATTCGACCGTCGTCCACTTAATGCAATAAATCCCCTCAATGAGTGACCTAATTTACAGTTTTCTTCATCACTTTATGCAATAACAAATATTACAATAATGCATTATGCATTTTCGATGACCTTTAAAGAGGAAATTCCATTCAACGTTATTAGATTATTTTCAATTATTTTGAATTATTCTATATCAAAATTTCAGTTTTTTAAAAGTTAATAACATAAAAAAAGCGAATAAATTTAGTGAAAAGCATAAGAAAGTTAATTTAATTTAAATAAAAATGTTTTCAGAAACGATGAATCAAAATGTAAATAGACATTTAGAATGGGAATTTTGAAAAGATAGATGGCTCTTTGCTGAAATCGACCGAGCAGGACGATACTCCATGTGCTCCCATTAATTACAACGAAGAGAATATATAAGCTAATAATTTAGAGGAAATAAAGAGGAATTATAAATATTGTGATTCGAAATGAATGATAGATAATCGTGGTAAAAATAAAAGGATGGTAAAAGATCACAAATCGGAACATCTTGCATAATATGAAGTTTTAAATAATATCATAGGTGATGTTATCTAATTTTTTTTTAAAATAGTTAATAGCACAAATTACGTAGCTTATTCCCAGTAATTAATGATGCGAATGTCGTGAATTTTTAGTTAAATTTGCATCTAGGTTTTAGTAATCTTATTCCATTAGATCTTTTTGGGCTCAACTTTAACCTAAAATTAAAAAAATTTGGAACAGTTTAGCACTACCATACAGAATTTTATAAGTGAAAATTAAACTTTACTTTATTCGACGAATTGAAAGGGATTGTAGGTTACATCGTTAAAGTTGTGTTTTATAATTAAGCTTCTATTAGGAAAGATGGGAATTATAAAATATTTCTGTAGTCCTTCAGTTAATTTACTTAATTTACTATCTAACATTGCACTCAATAAGAGACAAAACGAACATTCGTATGTTTATAATAAGAAAGATTTCACTTCTAATTTCAAACGAATGAAAAATAAAATTTAGTAAAAATAAATTCGTGAGGATTTCTTTACTATGGTTCTGCAGTGAAGATCGAAGTCAAGATTTTCATCCACAATTGCAAAAAGGAGTGGTATCAGTTAATTTCAGGCATAGTAT